TCGAGATCCCCAGATAAAAGAAATAAATTGTTATGAAGTTTTATACTTTGTAAATAAATCAAATAATCAAATAAATAAATCAAATAATTTAAAAATAAATCAATACATATGGAAATAAAAACTTTATTAAATAATTTTGAAAAAACATAAGTAATGAGATTGCGAAGATACAGAATTAACAAAAAAATACAATTCATATTATTCATGCCTCGTCCTCACTAGAGTTTTCTTCGTGAAGTAATGAAGTGCACCGACTACATGTGGGCTCGGATGAGGAACTTTCGCTTCCAATTTGATGTTTGTTAAGTTGGGGCAATCTGGCAGAAGTGCCCAATACGTTTTTTAATAAGGATACTTTGTAACTCTTCCCATGCATTCGTTGAAGCTCTGTTGTGAAGGAACTCATATCACGTTTTAGAATATCCGTTATAGTACCGAATATTCTTTCGAATTCGATGCAATCGATTGAGTATAAGCTGCAGTCTAGTTCAACAAGAGCTGAAGTCGGTCTTGGATGCGCCTTTAATAGGGCTAACTCACCAAAGTAACCATTCATACCAACGTTTTGCACTTTCTCGTCCTTGTCCCACCTGTTCTTTTTCGTTAAACTTACGAGGCCTTCTTCTACTAAGTATACAGCATTAGATGAATCATTCTCTTTGAATACGTAGTTTCCCCTTCGAAAATTTTACAAACTTTAAAGCATCTGCTAGATTGCAACGTTCAGATGGGCTTAGATTCTTAAAACAAACCCGACATAATTTATAAGACGCAGTTTTGTTTTTCTTTTAATTATCGATGTTCTTAATAATCGATTTCGGTATGTTATCCTGTCAATTGTCCAAAGTGACCCATCAGTAACAGCGAAGACGGTTATCGTACTTTCGACAGGATAAAGCAAAAATAAATCTCCGAATGTCTCACCTCGTGTCAAATTTATTGAAGTCCTTCTTCGGGATTCTGGTGCGTGGTAAGTATATTCAAAAACACCAGATTCTACTACATAAAAACGGTTACCTATTTCAGGTTCTTTGATGATCTTCTCATCAGCTTCATACTCGACCAGCCTCATGGTGTCAATTAGTTCGCTAAACGTACTGCAATCAACATGGCGGAATAGTACAGATTTCCTCAGGCAGTGTGTTAGAAATGATTTCTCTTCAGGAGATTTGAGATATGTCTCCGGCGCACATAAATCTGATACTACAGAGCGCAAATCAAAGGGCTCGCCTCGAACGCTCTTACGACGCACCATCATTTCATCTCTAACTAAGGCAGCCTGAGGCATAATCTGGTTTATAGATTCAGTGTTTGCCTCTTTTTCCTGTTGTTTTTGTATTTCTCTTTTTACTTCCTTAAATACTCTGCACTGAATTCCGGTATATTTTCCGGGTTTTCAGCCATAACTTGTACAGTCAAACCGACGCATAGCTCAAATACACCATCTGGAACTGCACTAACCTCTTCAGTCCCAGCAACCTCAGTTTTTGAATTGTTTGTTTCATTTGATGCCTCCATTTACACAAATAATATGAAGTTTTTTAAACTTAAGATGGAATAACTAAAAAGTGGAAAATAAGTGATTTATAAATTAAAAGGAAAAAAACAAAAAGTGTACTTGCAGAAGTTTGAGGAAAAAATAAGTGAAGAATAAGTGAAGTGTGTTGTCAAAATGAGTACGTGGGATCATAATACCAACGTAGCCACAAAAAAAATTAATTTTGATACTACAAAAAATAATTATTTAAGTGTGCTGAATATTGAAAATGTGCCAAAATTAAATACGCAGGTATTTTTCATTCATTATTACACTAATCATTCCAAATAACTAAACACAAAAATAATTAAAACTAATATTTGGCGCAAATCAATGTTGGCAACCCTTGTTTAAAATAGTAAGAAATCAAAACACTTAAAAATAAATTACCTAATAATTTCGTTTTGGTAAAACTTTGAGTGTATGAATAAATATAATCAAAGGAAATTCTATTCATAATATTTGTTAAATTAAAATTAATTTAACTTCATGTTCTAAAAATATATTTATTTAAGTGCGGACGTCAACGCTAATCAAACCGCTAGGGCGGAATTAAACGGTGAGCGCGGAGTATATCCAATTTTAAGAAAACCAGTGAAACAGCTCATTACTTCAAATAATTTATATATAATGAAATAATTTCTGCTAAAACGTTAATAAAATATTTTACACTTTGCAACAAGTACTTATTTTAAATTTACTTTGAATCACAAAGTATTAAATGTAAATATATTATTTTGTGTTGTAATATACTATGAATGCTGATTAACATTTTAAACACAGTTTGAGATAAATAAGAAATTGTAAATTTATCGTTATTAATTTAACGTTATTAACTAAACAGTATAGAGATGGCGCATGCGCAGTAGAACAGACTCTAAATATTATTTCTCTTTGGCTGACAAAAAATTGCCAGATGTATATTTTGTGCATCTAATATATTGCAAAAACATTCCTATGTCGTACGTGCCTTCGTTGAATATTGTAATGAGTGCATGATCACATCAAAGCCGTGTTTAATAATTTCAATCAAGTTTTGTTTGACCTGTTTCGTTAAAGTCCTTGCATATCTATATCAAAATGGACGAATTGGATAATTTTTTTGCAAAAAAAGATCGTAGGAAGTCCAAGACTGTTAAGAAATTTTCGACGGCAGATGAACTGGTGAAAGAGATGGATAAGGCGATCAAGAAGGCCCAAACAAAAACCGAAAAAGAAAGCAAGGAGCTTCAGACTCCCGCCAGAGATGAAGAATGGAAAGATTTTGAGGAGGAGACAAAAGATTACACCGGTCTAAAAATCGGACACCTATCAATAAGTGAACATGAACAAGCCCAAAACGCCGCCATTAGCGATTGTATGCACCGCAATATTGACGATGAGTCCACCGAAGATGATGAGCCAGCAGTTGGTCCGTGGACAAAATTGGGCAAACCTGCTCCAGCTACAATGGACAACAAAGTAGAGAAACCAGGTTCGTCAAAACCTGTTGGTGGATATGTGCCGCCGGCACTTAGAAATCGATCATCCTCTAATAAAAGTGGCAGTAAGAAAAAAAGTCGTGCGGCTCCAGATATAAACAATGATGATTACTTTCCAACGTTAGAAGCTTCCAAAAATGAACAACCAAACACAGGGGCCCGCAAGAAAAAGGCACCACTGAAGAAGACCAACAAGGGAATCGTAATGTTCGTAGTAGCCAAGTCAAAAATGCGCCATCTTTGCCTCTTGGTAATCGTTTCAATAGTCTAGCTGATTCCAGCTAGGGTAAGGTTAAAATAGAAGCACAACTAAATTGTCATTAAGATTACAAATAATAAACTTATAAAATTCTTGCTCTTTGTATTATAAAATTTGTAAAAATTGCTTGTCTTAATAAACTTTATATCCAAACACAAAGTTGTTTTTTTTAGAAATTTCTTGTTGAAATGTTTGTACATATTTTTTAGTAACTTCTGCCAAAACTGAATGGTGTCTTAATATGATTTTGAGAATGTACATCATTCTGAGGAAAACGTTTGGAATGCTCTTTACGTGGGATAACAAATTTTCATCAACTTATATGAAGTGGTCTATATTTCAGGCGCATATAATAAATCCTTAGCCAATTCGGCAACTTCTAATATCACGAGCTGGTGTTGTCTACGAGCCATTCTTCCATTTCTTGCACAGCTTATCTTTTTTGGCATGTGGATACGCATTGAGCCCAAATTGAAATTCATATTGCATTTAAATAATATAATAGTGGTGTATTTCCTTCATTCCTTCAATATGTC